TGCCCCTCGCCCCCCCCCCCCCCCCCCGTGGGAGAGCATATCTGGGGGGAGGGGAGGTTCCTTCTCACTGGGGCGCCAGGTCAGTGAGGGTTGTGGGGTTTTTTTCTTTTCCCTTGCATGTGACCCCCACCCCCAAAAAGGTTCCCCACCCCTGCCCGAGGGAATGGGGCCAGGGCAGTTCTCCAACCTTCTAGCACTAGAGTCCGAGAGCAGCACGTTCCCGCTACCCCACCACACCCCACCCCACCCCACCCCATCCCACTCGTCAGCATCAGCTTCCCCGTGCTCCGTCCTGCATGCGGCTCCCGTCCCACAGACCTGCTCCCACCCTTCTGCCCCCAAGGCAGGGCTGTGGGGCTAGGTTAATCCCAGCGCACGGGGAACGGCTCCTGAGCACTGGCCCCATGCTGAGCATTTCCATCTGTGAGGCTGCTCCCGTCCCACAGACCTGCTCCCACCCTTCTGCCCCCAAGGCAGGGCTGTGGGGCTAGGTTAATCCCAGCGCACGGGGAACGGCTCCTGAGCACTGGCCCCATGCTGAGCATTTCCATCTGTGGTGTTTGACAGGACCAGGAGAAAGGTCTCAGCGCCCTGGAGGGAGTGGGTTTCCGAGTGGGCCAAGGACTCTCGGAGAGGTGAGTGCGAGCACAGGAGGGGAGGGGCGATAGCAGTGTTCCCTGTAAGCCGTGCACTTGTGCGGCCACTCTGCTGATCAGCAGCGCACCCACAGCTGGCTTTTTATTCGTATGGGTGGTGCACAGACCTCGGTGCACATAACATTATTCCACACACAGATGGCAAAGATTAAAGGGAACACTGAATGGGACGTTCGTGAAATTGACAGTGGGGGAGGAAGCTTGCCACATTGGACAGCTCAGCAGAAGCAACTCCCAGTACAAAGTGGTCCCCGTGCACTGGGAGATAGCATCTGAAATGGAGCCCGATGGCCATTGGGGGGGCGGGGAGGGCTCGGGGGGTGCTGGGACATAGCAGGGGACTTGCAGTTGGATTCATTTCTCATTTTGGCACCATTTGCTCTGGGTTCCCCCTGCGTGGCCTGTCTGTGGAGCCGGGCGCGGATACCAAAGCTAGCACCCTCGTCTGCATATAAAAGCAGGTAGCCACAGATTTGCAGGGTAAAACAGTAGCATCCACCTCCATAGCCACACAAATGAGCTGCGGACACCCGCATTCGCACATGGGAACGTGCACCACCAGTAGAAACAAAACTCCCGGCTGTGGGCCTCTTCTGACCAGCTGGAACAGCATCTGCATCTCTCCTGAGCTGCCGCACAAGCACACAGCTTACAGGGAACGCTGTTGTTGGTCCTTCCTGAAGTGGACGCCTGTAGGTTTGCAGGGCTCTGCCTGTCTGCCTTCCTGCCCTCGGGGCAGCAGAATGAGCGGGGGAGTCTGTTGGTGTCACTGATGGGAGGAGTTTTGGATGCTGGGCAAGGCTGGGGTGGCCGATGCGGCGGGGGATGCGTCCTGGCAGCGTGCGCGAGAGGACCCGAAGGGGGTGCGTGTGTGATTTCAGAGCCGAACGCTCGGGGACACCAAGAGACAGAAAGCGGAGGAGCGGCTTTGAAAATGTTTAGCCCGTCTGTTTCCATGGGTCCGTTAAAGGAAAAACACGTCCAAACGCAGGACAGGTTCAGCCCTCCCCCCCTTTGCATGTGCTGCAGGGGATCCCGGGCCCAGCCCTGAGTAAATCCATCTGTCAGCTACGTCCGCATGCTGGAGGAGTAAGGGAGCTAGGCCCGGTGTCCACGCCCCACGGCTCTGAGCGGCGTCTCAGCTCCGGGTTCGCCCTCCCCCCGGGGCGATCGCGCTGTCTGAGGCGGTAGGACCCGTTCAGAGTGACAGTGACCAGCGTGTCCCCCATCGGCTGCAGGCTGACAAAGGAGATGCCGTCTTTCAAGGACGAGCTGGACGTCGTGAAGTTCCTCTGCAAGGATCTGTGGATCAACGTCTTCAAGAAGCAGGTTGACAATCTGCGCACCAACCATCAGGTAAGGGCGGGGCTGCTCCTGGCGAGGGGGACGCTCTCCCACGGGGGGGGGGGGGGGGC